TAATAATAATAATAATAATAATAATAATACCACCACCACCACCATCACCACCACCACCACCACCACCACCACCGTATGTCCAGATAAAAATGCATACATTTTACCTTCGGTAGCAGGAAACAGATCATGCCCTTCACTTTTAGTTTCTGCAAGCTTTCCTGTTCTCAGCAATACTTCTGCAAAGCTTTCCAAAGGAGCATGCTCATACATGGTATAAGTAATTTCATTCTGCAGAACAGGATTTTAAGCATAGTGGCATTATAGCCAGGGATGTAAGAAATACTCTTAACATTCAATATGTTAACTCTCCACAATGCTAGTTGAATCAGACCTCATTTATTATTTAGCCACAGAACAGATCTAGATAAGATCTCATCTATTATCTAGCCACAGAACAATCTAACTCAAGTGATTAGGAGTGTTACTAATAGGCTTTAAACTTACATCTGCAAGATATGGATTGTCAATCAGAGTTTCATAAAATGGATGACACCCTTGTTTTTCAATTGTTGCATTTGCTCCAGAGGTGCTTTTTAATACATCTCCAAACTCCTGACCCTTTGAGAAACAAACAGAGGGAAAGCCAATATTGAAATCATATATTTTCCCGTATAAAATTCTATTTCATCAGATATATCTTAATATCATGAGAGATGGTGACTCATACTTTAATTCTCCATTTCTCTCTAGCAGTAAAGTTAAGGGAAAACCTGAACAACAACACACAAAGATAAAATGCATATTCCAGGTCTTTGTGGTGCATATGATATTTCTATATATTCTCTGTTGTCCTATGAAAGCCCACAACAAAATCCCCTATGGAACACAACGTAATGATACACTTAAAAGACCAAGGTATAACAGTCGGAGGACTAATGTTACTTCTTACATGCAATGGTCGAAGGTAAGCTATTGACTTCTTCCACCACTGTCGATCACTGACAGCATGCAACATAGCCTTTGTGGTCAGAGTTGTGTTAGAAAGGACCTTCATGGTTTTAGCTGTGGTCCACTGGAGGAGATCAGCAGACTGACTAGAGGAAAAGCTGTTATCAACCTGTGAATTTATGCAATACACAACACATAAGCATTAAATTTAATCTGCCAAAGAAGACATGTTTAAATCAACACATGCAAAATAAGCATAAAGCATCTTCCAAAGATCGGCCAATTTCAACCATTATGTTTCCCATAAGTGCACATTTGAATAAAGGGTAACACAAGCACATTTCATTCTCAGTTATAAATCTTGCATATTTTAATACTGCAATTTCAAACTTGAATAAAACACAGCTTTGTGATTACATTTCATCTAACTGTAATCTTTCAGAATGTGTTATAGTGCTAGAAGCTTACAATAATCAGCTATTGATTAGAAGCATGCTAATGAATCTTGACAACTGATAAAAAATTATTTTTGCTTTATTCCAAATGTTTGGGTAGAAGAGTTTGAATGTCTAATTACACACTACAAAATTAGAAGCATTTCATTCTCATTGAGATTATCATAGTTGACATTAAAAACTTCAGACACAGCAGTAAACAAATGAACTAAGCTTTGCTCAAAGTTGTGAAAGAAAAAGCTATAAATAAATATGTTTTAGTTTTTTGGCAGAGTGCCATTCTAAAATAAGGAGGATATTTTCACATAGCAGAACAGTTTGTCTAGTAAGCTTAGCTGAATTATGGATTCTTAAGAGAAGACTGACCATAACAGTGTCTATTACTGTCTGTAAAGCATTATTTCCTTGACATACACTTTTGCCAAAGTGTGTTAATTTTTGTAGAAGAATATTCTAATGACATGAAAAACTACAACACGTCAGCATATTCTTAGGGAACAGTGAAAATCAGGCTCAGGGAGCAAGAGGACAATGGACTTCTCAACCAATCAGGCATCCAACACTATCTTCCATACCCTCACTTGACAACAGAATACCTGATTTAATCCTGGAAACTAACCATGTAAGATTGCCCTATGTGGATAAAATCACACATCTTATTTGACCATCACGATCCTGTGTATGTACCTATAGTGCATTCAGAAAGTATTCAGACCCCCTTCACTTTTTCCAATTTTGTTATGATACTACAATCGTTCAAATTCATTTTTTTCTCATTAATCTACACTCAGTAC